CACACAAAGTTCCTAACATAATCCACAAAGTGGCCAACTTGTCCCTGTTCATGTTTCCAGCCATTTCGTCCCAATATTCCTTTTCCCAAACTCTGCTACAGCCACATTGGCTTTTTCTAGCCTTTTGTCCTTGGTGCGCCCTTCTAGCATCTGGTGTCTCTATGTAGCAAGTTTCCTCTGCTGTAACATTCTGCCCTTCCTTCCTCACCAAGATGAACCTATTCATCCTCTTGATCGTACTCAGTTATCACTTACAAATGATACTGTGTCATCTCATGTTTTCAACTGTCTTAATAACTTACTCCTCTTAGTTTTTGCACATACAGTCACAATTGTATATTGAATCTATATTTAATTCACATTGACTAGTCAAATATAAACTCCACTGAAGCAAGGCCTCTGTCTATATTTACTGACTTCCTAATACTCAAACTAAGCATGCTTCAGGTACTCTATAAATACATCTTCATTGAGAACATAATAAAGTTCCTTGAGGTCTCTCAAGGGCTTAGTATATTATTTCCTCCAATACCCACAATGTCACATATTCATTCAAAACAGCATAAATGGAGAGACTTTTTCATACAGTAAAATCTAATCTTCAATTTTGTCTCTTCTTGATGTTACTTACAATCTGAATATAGAAGTTTTGATGATGAATATGAATGAAATTACATAACAAGAACTTGCTTTCATATTGTACATTGAGAAATAATGTGATTTCTATTTTCTTTAATATTATTTCCTTCCTGTTCATTAGCATTAATATGGATATTGTATACTAATACTAGAAAATTCAATACAGCTAGGCTTTCTTGTGTATATCTGTTTTTTTATTGTTCTATTAGTATAAATGTAACTAAATGTTGCATTTCCTCTAATGTAAGTAGTATTATCTCTATAAAAAGGTTATAATCTTATAGGAATTAGCCTGGAAAATGGATCCTGTGGCAAGTTCATCTCAACCTACCAATATCATCTGATCTTTTAAGTGAAATTAAGTGGAAACGTTGAAAGGGTAATGGGAACGTGAAATTATTTTAATCTTTAGATCATTAATGACAATAATGAGCACTCTAAGAGAACAACACAACAAAAGAAGGGACAAGATTTTACACGTCACCTGCTTTGGTCTCTTACCCACAGCTTACCCCGTCATCATGTCATCAGCATGCAGCTGAGTCCACTCAGGCTGCTGCATTACGATGAAAGTCATGAAAGATTCTCCAGAGAAAGTTTTATGCTGAATAATGAGGCCCTCAAACACTCATCAGAATTTTAGATGAAATAAATATAAAGGGTTTCAAGTAAAAGTGGATTAGTATAGATAGAGGAAGGAACCAAAGTTAAAAAGAACAAGTCATTTATCTAAGGCCGCAAACCCAACTGAGGGCCCAACCTGGTCTAAAAGCTAGATATCTTAGTGCACATGTATTTCCATTTCCTGATCACATCAGTTCTGTATGATTCTCTAGGAAAAAATAATCTAAACAATAAACTCCATGTCCAGATCACTCTAATAACCGGGGGAACCCCACTTTTACAATCACAAGTCACATGAGCCAGATCTGACTAGCTAGAAAATAATGATAGGAAAAAGTAACTATTACCCTCTGTTCACTCAGCATTCTTTAAATTTCTCAAGTATACATATGAAACACTGACGAAACTCGTACGCTATGTAGCAATGTTTCCATATTGCTTTCCTGCCAACACAGACTTTCGGTAATACTTGCCATTATTAAAATTCTGTCTATCCCAGTGCTATGTTCATGAAAAAACAGCTCTCTAAAAAAATAATTTTTGAAAAAATTGACATGCAGGATTTTCTAATTACTGTGTCATAAATACTACCACCCCGTCCAATTTTAAGCTCCAGGTTTGCCACAAAATATTTGAATATTTAACAATTGATCCTAGTGTACAAGTGACAAACAACCTCTAATAGCACACCACTAATACTCCAAGGAATCACAGATGAAACAAAACTCAACTCACTCATAACAATGGAGAAACAGAGACTTTAAAAGAAGGAGATGATTTGCTTCAAGATCACAGATTTGCTGAGCTGATTTTAATGCCTAAGATTCCACCTTCACTGTTCTTGTCAATGAGATGAAGCTTCATGCATTAGAAAAAGTTAGCGGTCCTCATAGGACTGCAGAGACAAAGGCTTCTCCGAAGGTCAGCAATATGAACACCACCAGAAAGTCTGCTGGAAATGCGGGCTCTTGGTTCCGCCCTACACCTACCCTGTTGTGTCTTTTATTGGCTTTTTGACCTTCAAATGAGGGCTTCACCTATCTGAGATGTAGCAATCTAATTAAGATTGAAGAGACTCCAGTTTGTAGCAAAATTTGAGAACCCAGTAGTTAATGATGTCCGTACTGATGGGAAAGCATAATTTAATTTACTGTTTTAACTTCTTTACTTTGACTTTTATAAGGTCTAGTAGTTTCACAGGATCTAGCAATTGGCTTTCCATTAACTAGAAGATTTAAATATGTGTTATTTTGGTCAGTGTTATTTTTTGGTAATTTTGAGAGTAACAATTTTTTCACTGCAAAATTTAAAATTTTCACTAAAAATATGGAAATTCAAGCAGAACAACCCTAGACCTATTGTATCTTAACTTCTCTTTTTAGAAATGTTTTCATTTTCCTTTTGTTTCTTTCTCTTCCTTCCTTCCTTCCTTCCTTCCTTCCTTCCTTCCTCTTTCCCTTCCTTTCCCTTCCCTTCCCCTCCCCTTCCCCTCTCCTTCTCTCTCTCTCTCTCTCTCTCTCTCTCTCTCTCTCTCTCTCTCTCTCTCTCTTCGT